TATTTTATATTATATATACTCATATATAGTATATGTGTGTATATTTTTATAATACAAATATATATATTTTTTCTATCACTAATTACTTGGGAGAAGAGAAAAAGAAAAAAACAGCAATAGAACGAGAAGAAATGGCTTCAAGTTGCACCAGGGGAGGTTTAGACTAGATAGTGGGAAAAATTTCTTTACAGAGGGAGTGGTCAAACATTGGAACAGGCTGCCCAGGGAGGTGGAAGAGTCACCATCACTGAAAGTGTTCAAAAAACATGTAGATGTGGCACTTCAGGACATGGTTTAGTGGGCATGGTGGTGTTGGGTTAATGGTTGGACTTGATGATCTTAAAGGTCTTTTCCAACCTTAATGATTCTGTGATATAAAATACAGATAGAACATAAGTTACCTACATTTCTGAGATTCTCAACCTCAGTTGGTTTGTAATAACATGAGAAAGAAGGGCTCAAAGATTACCAAAATTGTAATTTATGTGCACAGATAAATCAAGGATTAAACAGTATTTCCTCCCTTTGTGTACACACTGCAGGCATTTGGTGCAGTTTCTAGGCAACTTCTCTGAAATTCCCAAGGACAACTTTATAGCTGATGGCTGTTGCTAAGCAACCTCTTCTGTCTGTTGTAATGCTGCTTGAACAATTTAACTGTTTATATTAAATAGTGCCCATAATATCCCACTGCCTCTGAGCTAACCAAACCCACACAGCTTTTTACTACTTAAAATTCAACACCTACTATTTATTTTAAACATCCAGGAACTCTCTCTACTAACCATTCTGGAATAAAGAAATCTAGACCCATACGGTTCTAACATGCAATTCTTGCCATTGTAGGGGTAAAAAAAAGTTTTCCAGACAAAAGTCTGGGTATATAAACAAACTGAACAACTTTCGATTACAGTTTAGTCAAACAATTCATTGGGAAATAGTAAAAAAAAGAATTTACAAATATTAGCATTGTCATCAGAATCAACCTGACCCACACAGCATGATCCTGGAAGCTACAGTCAGTGACAGCCTATAAAATCCAAAAGGACTTGTCTCATTTTGTAACAGAAGTGAGTGATGTGTAGATGATCAAGAGTAATTTACTGTATTCAATAAGTATTTTTTTTTTTCCTGTTTACAGGACCACCTATGTTTCTTCGTGAAATATGTCTATGTTCAAACACAGGCTTGTCTCCACTTGGGGAGCTGTTGCTGAATGAAAAGGGGATGTGCATGCCTCTAGGGAACTGAATAGCAGTTCCTTTGTAATTTAAAAATACATCAGAGTATCTCACTACAACTAAATCCAGTTAGTTCCTGACCAGATTAAAAAAACAACACACAGGATTTTGTGCTGTCTCCATTTTAAATTATTTTGCTTTACTTTTCGAAAATACCTTCATAAGATGGCCATGATCACAGACAACTGGTTTTTCTCCTCCGCAATCAAAACAGATACTGCTAATTCCAGATTTTTTTTTTTTTTTTTATTTGTGCCTCCTGAAGAGTATCTGTAGCAATTTCTCTTTCCCAGCTTTGTATAATATAACTACTACTGTTGAACAGTAAGATCTTACTGGAACTCTGCTCAGTAATTTTTTTCAATTTAAAAAACTTAACTTCAACAAGAATGTAAATCTAGGCATTTTGAGCTATCTAAGAAATAAAATGGCAATTCTCAGTTTCAAACCTTACTACACTTAACTAAGCTGAACACAAAGAAATCTAGAGACAGTTACGGATTCAAATATATCCTGAGGTCCTGCTCAACAGATGCTCAAGAAAACTCACCATAACCAGATGTGTAATTGGGGCCTCTGCGGCCTCTCCCTCTTCCGCTGTAGGATCTGGAACCTTGCACTGAGGAGAGGGTGCTCTCATCAGTTGTATAACCCTTTTCTTTTTCAGGAACTCTAACAGAAGAAGGTCTGAAACCCATACCAATCTGACGCAATTGTTCATCAATCTGGAGCCTTTCCAGTCTTAGTTGTTCTACCTCCTACATGAAAGGAAACAAAACCAAATTGTTGATAAAGAAACGTTCTTTCCCCTCATAAAATACCATTGTCTAGTCATCTTAAAAACTAGCATTCCTGTCGGAGAGCCAACAGCACCTTGAAGGTGACTGCAAGTAACAGAATTCAACTAAGAGTTCTGGAATCTCTGGGTTTTGGAAGACATCTAAGCCCTTTCTCTTAAATCACCATGCTGAAAGACTATTTTTAAGACTATTATTACCTTTCTTAACTACACCACGCGTTTTCTAGTCAAATTTAGAAACAAGCAAACTGACAAAGTAACACAATTCAAATTCACTCATTATTTCTGCTAAGTCAACACCACAACTCCGTACAAAGCCAACGAATCTAACTGGATACTTGTTCCAACACTACACAGTATTGGTGTGTTACTACTAGAAATTCCATCCTACCCCAACCAAGCATTAACCTCAGAACAACAGAACACTAACACAGACAAAAACCACTGTGCATTACTTCTTAAATGCCACTTAAAACAGTGTGCTTCACAGTCCAATCCTTTCAATACCAACAATACTAAGTAACAACGGTAATTATTTTAAAACCTACTGGCAAGGGGCAGGTTCAAGGCACCAAACCTTAAATCCCGATAAACTGTTCCTCTGTGTATCAACTGCAAATCCCACTCGAAGTTGTTGCTCAAAAAATTCTGTTACTTCAACCAAAGTTTCCTCTCCAAATTCTTTCTTCTAAAATACACTTACCTTTAGATATGCAATGTGGTATTCTAAAAGAACTTGGACATTTCCAATGCTTTCTTTAGTACCAACAAATACAAATGGCACCATTCCCTACAGAAACAAAATGTCAAATCTTATTTTCATGAACATTATTATCATCAAAATAATGCTTTCTGTTTAAATTATTAAAAAAATCTGTTTAAATTACAGAAGTGAGCTAAACAAGCAAAGATAGTAACTGAATCGTGGGCTGCAAAGATACACTAGACATAGCTCAGACTGGAGTGAGGGTAGGGGCTTATATGTTAAGGACTTAAAACTATCCAGCTTTCCCAACAACCTATTCTGGCAGTTGAGGTAACTTGACATAAAAGCGTTTATATTACCCGCCCCCCCCAATACAAATGCTGTGTGTTTACCACAGTAGGTATGTAGAAGCATCCACAGTTCACCGAGAAGTGTCCAGTGGTTAATTAAATCAACTTTGCAAGATGAAGCACCCTTAGAAGATTTTATCTTATGTCCTCATATATTTAAAATACGTGAACAGTACTAATACTATCAATCCCAAATTAATCATGCAGCTAAAGTACATATAGGAGAAAGATTAAAAAAAAAAATCACCTTGCTTCAGCAGCAAAAAACTTTTCTTGCATTGTTTCATACGAAATTTACTGCAAGATACCAGGCTGAAAAAACCTTAAGAATTGCGCTCTCTATATCCACAGAAGTTATAAAACTGGCTTTGTTAAATAATCCACAAGCATGTATCCTAGAAAACTACCCAAATCACAGATATCCTATTTTTGTAATATGGAGATCACCACCGTTACAGGTTGGCCATGAAAAAAAAAAAGGGTGCAAAGGCCTCAAAGGCTATATTTAGAAACTGCATAATGATGCACAGATGAAACAGTGATCCCATTCTGATGCTGTAAGGTAGCACTTTAACTCATTTGAGTCATGCCCCAGAAATTCTCACTTTCTGCATATATTCTCCTACATATTCTTTGTTAAAATATTCGACATGACTGGTTTTGAAACTAAAAATCTAATCATAGGAAGAAAGAATTAAGTACTTACATCTTCACGGGGCAGTTTATTTTCATTATCTCCTTCAATTCTCACCCTGACGACTCCAGACTTGTCTACAATCTCCTGAATCACTTTTCCATTTTTTCCAATAACTTTTCCTTCAGAGGGCAAGAATGGTTAATTTTGCACCCGTGTGCAAAATATTTTAATGGATTTCTTCATATTTTAGGTTATGTATAACGTAATTGTAACAACCACCTGACTCTCCTATAAAGTTCACTTTGTTTCGAAGTTTTCTCCTACTTCAGAGGTACAAAAAGCCCCCCCAAAGAAAACCCCACACTGTGCCAGAAGAAAGAGGTGAAAACTTCCAAAATGAAACTATGTGTATATATATATATATATGCACAGAATGACAAGTAGGGATGAAGATCACCACTATAAACAAGTTCCAAGCTAAGAGTAAAATGGCACAAAAGTTTTGTAAATGACTATTTTAAATTTATACATCAATATTATTTGTACCCCCTGACTCCACATTAAATCTTTACTGACATTTTGGCAGGCTTATACAATATATGTTTGTTGGGAGCCTCTTAAAAGAAAAAAAAAAAAAGGAAGTAAAAAACCTACATAATTGTTTCTGAAAATTAGTTTTGCCTTTACAATGAACATTATTTTGAGATCATGTGTGTGATATAAACAAAAAGCTTCTTCAGAACTTGTGTTTAAATCTCAAAATAAGTGACTCCTCTGCTCCCTTGCTAAAAGAGTTTAGCTCATCCTTAAACTAAACTTAGGCAGAAACATTTTTTCATCCCAGCTACAGACAGCTGGCACTTAGAAATATTTGTTTAAATTACGAGTAAAGGCAGGCAGAACCTCTGAAAAAAGGGTGTAACAGCTAAAAGTGTGTGACAGCATACTCTGCTAAAACATTCTTTACAGCAGATATCAACATGATACAAAGTAAAGTGCAAAAAGCATTAAAAACTGTTTCCTCAACAGTTCAAATAGCTCAGCAGGGCTTTTTGGTATGTTTTTGTCTTTAAAAAAAAAAAAAAAAAAGAAAATACTACAGCTCATCTATATGCCCAGAATTTAATTTTGCACAGTGATCCTGTTACTACTAAAATAAAGCACACTCATTATAGCATTAAATGTTTTCCTATGGATAATGGTTAGCCTGTATGTGGGAAAAAGTCCTCCATCCCAAGGAGCTTTAGTAGCTGAAATGGGGAACTCAGCAGATGGCAGCACTCTTCTCTCTTGGTACGGAGAGAAATGCACTGGGCATAGTGTGACACCTTGATTTTGAGCCATTAACGATCACTACACTTCTTTTAACTTGGGTGTTTTCTTAAGTGTAGATAAATACATCTGCTTACATATATGACCGTAGGTGAATTGGGCAAGATGTCTGTCTTCGTCATAAATTGGTATTGTAATTGCTTAAAATTAGCATTTTTCAACTAAATGGATTACTATGACTAAAGCCATGATTCGCATTAGTGAACACTATCCAAAATGCGCAAAAACCTCAATTTGTAAAACATTAAATTTAGTGAAGTTTCTTGGCTCAACTAGGTTTGCTGAGATTACAGAAAAGAATGTGTTCATATACAAACTAACAATTAATTTGCTGAATTTTAAAACAAGCTTTTAACATTTGGTAGATGTGAGAATCATCAAGTTGCATCGGACACAGAATCTGCAGAGGTCCTATTAAAAAAACCAAACAAAAAACAAACCCCAAAACATTACACCTTAACTTGCTCAAGTTATAAAACCTTGAAAGCCTAATTTTTAGGAGTTTGCACATGAATTATTTACATTACATAGTCTATGCAAGCTCTAAGCCCAAAACCACAGGAGGTTAAAGCATAGTTTTTCAGTTGTGCTTTGGGTAACCCGAACTGCTGCTGAATTGGGGACAATACCTGCACTCTTAATATGCCCTTCATACTTGAATTGCCCGTGAGCTGGGGCAATGTAGAGTAGGAAGCTGCCAGACGCATCGTAACCACCAGGCAAAGAGGAGCAGAACAAGGGAAATGGAAAAAGTGCCCTGTGAAGAATGAACTAGGGAAAGATGTTTTTCTCTTGAAGGGAGATAGAGATTAACCCCAGCTTTAGGTAGGTTATGATACAGAAGCTAAAATCATATGCATTTACAAGTTTTGAAAAGCTACAGCTTCATAAAACTGAAACAGGGCAAAATGCTAATTTCTAGACTGAAGATGAGACTCACAAGCACTGCTTATTTATACAGTGGCTCAACACCATCCAGCCACCACCTCTAACAAAGCTGAACCCAGGAGGGAACAGTAACATGAGAATTGTCTTGTGTCATTCTTGCAAATCAACTGTAGTACTTTCATATTAAATTTTGGAATTTACTTTTAGCACTTTTAAGTAGTCAATTTAGCAAATTGTTTTTTTAATTAGAATTTGAACTTCAAATATTCCCGTTAAATTAGACAGTACAAGTCTGTAATGAAACCATTTTGAGTGTTAAAATCCTGACGAAGTACTATTCAACAATATATGAAATTCCTTAATAATTCCCTAATACATATAGTTTTAAAAGATTAATAACATTCCACTTAAATGGAGAAATTGAATATCATACTGGCATCTAATTCTTCTTTGCAGAGTCATGCTGATTAAGCTCCCTTTCCCTAAGTTTTCAAGTTTTAGCAGTATTACATACCAACAAGATTTCTGGGAACTTGAATAAAATCCTCCACAAATTCCAAGTAACTTCTAGCCTTTTTCACTGCATCAGCAGTCTAGAAATGAATAAAAAAAATAACTGAGTTTATTTGTGAATATAGTATGTTAAAAATAAAACCTTGCAGCACCAGCTGCAAGTCTTCCAAACATCAAACTTATTTTCAAAAAGAGAGGAAGAGAGACAAGATTAATCTAGTTTTGAACTAAATGTTAAAGAAATAATTGAGTAAAATGCTCAGAAACAAAATTCAGTAGCAAAGCATCAGTAATGAATAAAGCAACATTTTCCATGCTGTTTTAAGACATTTTAAAATATTACCTGCAATTTATAATGAGTAAACACCAGACATAAAAATATCTTACAGATGTATCTTGAAGCAGTTTCTGGTAGACATTAACTGGGAAAAAACAGCTAACTATATTCTTCTTCTCCAAAATCAAAACACAATTTTCAAATCTAGAATCCATTTTTTAAATATATATATATATATAAAAAACCCAATTATCACAAACATTCTGTATTGAAAAAGAAATAAATCTGTAAGAGGTCCTATAGCATTCATAGAAACTTCAGCTTGTAAGAATACTACATTAAAAGAAACACTGGATCATGTATCTCATTTCACCTGACTTAGCAGAGAATGAGTGGCTATATGGCTATGATTAGATGGGCAAGCCATAAAACTATAGTTTAACCTCTCCATTTTCCTCTAGACTGCCTTGGAAGCATCCAGTTTTTCTTCACAGAAACTGTGCTACCACTGATATTGGCAGCAATATAAATTTAATTTTGCAATTTTTAATGTAGTTTTTAATGTATAATACACTATTACATTTCCCAGAAGACCACATGTGGAAAAATGGGGAAGGAGAAAATGAATTTTAGACTCATTTGTCTCTTGGCAGTATCTAAAGATTATGCCACCTGATAAAGAGAAGACATTTGCAAGGTTAAAGGGCAATCTCTCCACAGAACTTTACAGGCTCACTGTGAGCACTGACTGGCTTTACAACCTGCTCCCTAAGAAAGGTGTACTGATTTTTCAGAATAGCCTAACTAAAACAGCCGTTTGAAGTTCTTTCCTGTATCAGGTTTCTGTTTTCTTACTCAGAATTCAAGAGAATGGAAAGAAAACAACAAAATCAGTCACAGAACCTTTCTTGTAACGGAAGGATCCATTTTGCATGCAAGTCTAAGTACAAAGTTCTGTTTTCAAATACACATTAATCCTCAGTGAGTAAATGCTACCAAAATGACAAAAGTAGCTATTCCTCTAGGTGTGTGCACACTCACAAGGCTTGCCTACCACATAACCCACTTCTATCTTTAGGAGAGGGTCTCACTGCAGAAAGGCTGGGAGGCTACGGTCAGAGTACAGTGCTCTACAGGGGAATTTGGCAGCGGTCAGGCAAACTGGGGCTTCAAAGGAAAAACAGCAGTGCTGGAAGGTACAGGAGCATACAGACACAGCACATCAAGCCTGTTCAGAACTGGCTACAGGTAGGAAGCTTTCTGTTTTCTCTACAAAAATATCTTCTGTTTCTCTCCCGTCTTATGCTTGATGGAAAACTAAGCCTGAATAACAAGCACCTTCCAACAAACTCTCTCCTGTAACTGCAGGCAAATTACACTAGTGCAACCTGAACTCTACAGCTATCACTAATAAGGAATCTGCCCTAATCATATCACCTCTCCATCGCAAGTACAACCAAGGCAGTGTCCTTCCTGAATGCTTGTTTCTGGCCACAGTTCATCTACAATGTTTTCCAAGATAGGACAATGTCATTGGTTAGTGGGGAGAACTATAAATGCTCTCATACAGCTTTATTATTACATGACAGAAATTGATTGACAGTTGAGGCTACACAGATGCTGAAACAAGAAATAAAGCTTCCAATCAGCAACAGCTAAAGTTTAGAATTAAGGAACAAGTATCAGCATCTAGTCAAGTAATGACAGCTTTTGAGCACAGTTTCCATTTTACACTAATGCCTCAGCCCTTTCATCTGTCATGAGAGTACCACCAGCTCCTGCATCTTTCAATCAAATTACGGAAGTCTTAAAAGAACAAAAAAAAAAAAAAAAATGTATAAACCTCTACTTTTCTCAGAGGTCAAAATGATTGCAAGAGAAACATGGGTAAACTGAACTTCCAGATAATGAAACAAGCAATAAAGCATGGAAAACAGATGAACAGGAAGTCACTGTAGGGAGCAGAGGCTGTGCTGCATACTCAAAGCAACTGCTAAAATGACACAAACTTCACCACACATTAGCAATTTTTCACCTTCAATGAGGTCTACAAATAGGACACAATTAACTGAAGAGCTCACAATGTCCTGCCTCAGAAGTATGTTTACCAATTCTTTCCCCAATAAAGATGACGGAACAGCGAGTGCTTTCACAGAAGCAGAGTCAGGACAAGAAAATAAACAACTGCCAGTAACTGCAGTTCTCCAGTGGACACACATGCGTATCTACACTTTGCCACAAGCACTCAGAATTTTTATGCAAGTACAACCTGTATGACTCATTCACACCCCAACAGGAGATAGCATTTAAAGCTGATCTGGACAATGTATTCTCAGTGCCTCATGGTCAGTAATTCAGAAAAGGAAAAGTAATTTCTTTCTCTCTAAAAATCAGTGTGCACATGGATTAAAGACCTCAAAGAATTCCAGTTACTAGTAACTACCTTTCTAGCTTTGAATTAATAGTCTATACATCCATTCATGCTCTGGTTACTTCACATAGCAGCCCACACAACTAAGACACATCCATGTTACTTTAAGAGTCTTTAACAGAAAAATTAAATGCAGGCTATTTTTCTAAACTCGGCATTATACCTACCATTTTTGCAGCAGGAGAGTTCTAAATAAGCACAAAACAACTGTATGGCTGCAGATTTTAGGGAAAATGTTTTGTAACACAGCCACTGAAGTAAATCTAGTGGCTACACACTGGAGGAGTGCACTCCTATTACAAATGGTGGATCTGTCATAGGATTCTCACACCAGTTTTTGAGACGTTTCAAAAGTCTCTCTGAAGTCTTGGTAGCTCTTTTAGACCTTCCCAAATGGGAAAAACAAAACTACCTCTGGGAACAATTTGAGAAGCCATGTCCCCATGCAGATACAGACAAAGCCCTCCCAAGTCAGGGCAGGGAACAATGGTTTTTCCACTGAGATATGAGTCTTTTTTCCAGAAAACAACACATGTATTAGTCTCCTAGTTCAAATGGAGCTGAGCTAATGAAAGCTCCAAAGGGAAAATGAGTTTTCTTGTTCTCTCCAACAGGAAAACAAGAAGTAACAGTCTCCTGAAAAAGCCAGGATAGATAGGATCTTGCCATCCTTCTATCCAAAGGAATGGTTATCATACAGTTAAGTATCTTTAAAAAAATGGCGTAAGAGGGAAAAAGCTCAAGTGTTAAGAATTGCACAAGAATTGAATGCAATTTAATTTTGCCAGTAATGGATGTCTAAGAGAAGCTTTTCTGTTTCTTACAAGGCTCTCCCTCTCTGGGGAAGCACAAGATTTCAAAAGCAGGGACTCACTGTCCAAATCTCTGAAGTTCACAGTACTGTGGTCTCCTAACAGGCATCACACACAGCAGTTCAGGTAGAAGGGGAAGGGTCTTGGAACCAAAGTGCTCTTGACCATGCAGGGAAAAAGCACAAGCAGCATCCCATACAGTTTAGCTTCCTTCTAATCATCTAACTTTCCAAGATTCTTTAAAATTTATCTCCCTGTTGTTTCCCTCCAAGATTGTGGCCCTGAGCAACACTGAACTTTTATTTGTATGCAAAACATTAGCTATGGGAGACCCTCAGACCCTGACTACAATGTCAAGGACACTAGATAGATAACTTCTTCCACAGATCTCAGCCTAAAATTGTCTGCCCATGCACTCAGCCATTAGGGCCTGGCTGCTTGCCAACTTAGCTGAAGAGAGGCACAAAGAGTAGACAAGTATACCCAGATGCTGAATCCCTAGTCACGTGGAATATTTAGGTTGCCTGGCTTTTTTAGAAGCAGCTATCACTTCTAGGAAGGACAAGGCTGGATGTGTCTAAAGGCATTTTTATTTAGGAGGCATCTGGTATTTATAATCATTGCCGTGCACTACTGTAAGAGGCTGGTGACAGTCATAACCTTTCCACAAGTTTCAGCGTAACATCATTCGTGCTAGAGATTGAAACTGGAATACACTAGACATTCTATTGCATTTAAACTTGTCTGATTCTTCTTCATGAACTCCAAGATGTGATTTACTGGTAGTACTAGGTCAAAGTATCTGTTGCCACCCTGATAACCCTGGAAGTGTTTAAGGTTTCCAAAAACAAAAAACAGGACACAGAACTTCAGAGATACTGGAGAGTACAGAAGTTTGTTGTGCTCTCAGCAATATGAACTTCATCGGACCCCTGGATCACAGTTAGTTTCTACTTCTGACATGCATGGAGCATAATTCAAGACCACAGACTCCTGAAACAGTAGACAACCAACTATTTCTAAAGTGTTATCAGCAGAGATTCAGGTGTTAGTGGCATTGTAGAGTTGGTAACATGGGATAAAAACCCTCAAGAAATGTTATGACAGGGCCCTGGTGACAGCAGCATCTTTGGACTAAAGCAATGACCCATGCAGGAGACAGAACAGTAGTGACAAAGACCAGCTACATTTCAAGGCACTTGTCAGATTTAAAGCACATCAGGTAAAAGCCTTGGAGTTAATTAACTCCAAGAATTAACTTGGAGCAAACCAGTATTATTTTTCCAAAGCCAGACAAAATTAAATTAATTAAATTTTGCAATTAAATTGCCAAAATAAAAGGGTTAAAAGCAGCAGATATGGGCTTTAACACATTTGGCTAGGTCAGAGAAGCAGACACCACACAGCAAAACCCACATGAACTACAGAGAGGGTAAGGGGCAGAACCAACAAGAAAGGCATATACAGTCTGAAGGAAAAAAAAAAAAAAAAATATCTGTGATCAACTAAAATAGCAGCAAATGATACTTCTCTCAGGCTGACCGAGATGTACAGTGCAGTTACCACAGAATTTGTGCATCAGCACATGGAGTGATTAGGACAGAACACATCTTATGGAGGTCACCACTGCAACAAAGTCTTGTATTTCAAATACATGTAGTACAAGCTGCCACGGTGTGAACATGCATAGAGACACTCAGACGACTACTCAGCTATTTACAGTTCTTAATTCTGGGTACAGCTCTCACCACTCTAAAAAGCAGATACAGCGTGAAATGCTCAGATTCATACAAAGTTTCCCCCTTACCTCTCCATAGATTCTGAAAGTACCAGTATCCTCCTCAAGTTCAATGGCAGTAACTCCTGGAACTTTTCTGGCTTGCTGTATGTTACTGCCATGCGTTCCTATAGCAAGTCCCATTAAATCTTCTCTGACTACAAATTCCTCATGAAATGCTGCAGCAAGCTGTTTTGTGCACTGAAGGGAAAACAAAATAACTCATCCACGTGCACTCAACCTAACATCCAGTTATGTGCTCAGTTTCAAGCGACAAGAATCACAAGCTATGCCTTACTTCTAAGTGTTTTGTAGCTTCTTCGTTCCTTGACATAAGCATAAGTTTTGTACGAATGCTGCGCAGATGCATGTCACTTAGTATATTCACTCTCTTCACTGTTGCTTCACTGGCAGACTACAAGAGAAAGAACATAAGGTCTCGTTTTTAAGCAAATCCACTTTTAAAGGATAAATCAGGAACCTATTTAAATTAAATCATAAATATGATCTAATTTCCAGTACTTACATGGACATTAGTCTTCCTCAAAACAAAGCTAAGAAATTCAGCACCACCTCTGCAAACCAACAATCTTCTGTTCTCATTCAGCGTATTTTACACTAAAGACTTTGCTGCTGGATATACACAGTAACTCTTTCACCTTGATGTTCCCCAGACAAACAAATTGAGGATCATTCTAGCTTATACTTACTTGTCACTCACTGCATGAATGGCAGAGCTAAGGAAATAAGCAAGGAAAACACAATTCTGGAGAGTAAGGTTCAAATGGATAATACTAAGTAAACAGAACTGTGAAGATAAACTGGGAAAAGGCTATGTAATAAGAGAAAACTGTCACAGAATCTAAGTGAACAATTCCTTAATGGCTATGCTGAACTGGTGCAGTTCTTCATGTGGAAATCCAGCTGAGGTCAAATGCAGTGCAGTACTCGTACCCCTCCAAAAGGCCTCCCCCACAAAGACAAAATTTAAAGACATCTACTTACATTGAAGCTCTCTCAATTCACATAGCTCAACAAGTTAATCCATTTTCCATACAAATATACAGCTGGTTATACACTTCCCATAAATAATATACTAAAAATTCATGTAACATTTACATAGAAATACTTACCAGTATTATTAGTTGAGCAGTTTCAGCATGATAAAAAATTCGACACGCTCCCACAGCTTTCTTGAAATCTTTATGTGCATTTTCATTAGCACACCTAAGGAGACAAAACGATTGTTATTTCAACAAGCTGCATCAAAACAGAACACGTAGTTATTATCATCAAAACCAAGAGTAGTTTATGGCAAAGACTGCTCAGAAACTGGAAAATTCCCATTCTCCTTAATGTTGTTCCAGAGCTTATTTCTCAGTGGGCTGTATGCCATCATCATTATTAGGCAAGTAACACCTCAGTACCAAAGGCCCACTGTGAGTGAATCACCTGTACAAGCCTAAAGCAAGACCTCAAGCTCCCACCTCAGAACTTGCTTTTTGTCCTGACCCCAGAAGCTCAGCAGGGATCCCAGTCAGTAGTTTCTAAACCAGTTACTGCAGCCATAGACACCCTTAAGATCTTTCATGGACCTGTAAACCGGCCTCTAAAATACAACCCAAGTGGGTTTTTTCCCCCCCTTAAATGTAGTAAATGCCTTATTAAAGAGTGCAGAGCTACTCACGCATCTCTCAGATCTTCAGGAACATCCACTGTACACTTGAAAAAGGTGTTCTTTTTGACAGTTTTATTTTGATTCACAGGTCGGAGTCGTTCGTAAGTGACAATTTCATTGTAAGTGGCATCACAAGCAGCATATTCAATGACATAAAACTATGGAAGAATTTTTTTTTAAATGGTAACTTCAGTAAGGAACAAAGACATAGTAACATTATCAGCATCACCAAGAAAGTACAAAATCTAAAACATAAATCTGTTTTAGTCTATATATTCATATTATGTACTTTTGTACATAAATCTGAGTTGATATAATGCTAGAATTTACATAAATAAGCCTGGACATGTTTCTGATGTGAAATCAGGGCACCATATGAGTATAATTAAGTCCCCCACAAAATCATCTTTATTTATAGATTTTTCTCATGCCCATCCCTCTTCAAATACCTACTTTAGTCCAGTTCAAGTTCCAAAATTCAAAAGGTTTACCGGAGCTATAATTCAAAAAATATCTAATAGAGAAGCAAACATAACTCATTCTTCATGGAAATATCTGCTCTGCCAACAGTTAAAAAAAAAGGCAAATCCACTGATTCAATGGACAAACTACCTGTGAATCATCTAAAATCAAACAGAAAATAAAAATTCAATCTTTCTCATACACACTATCCCAAAGTTAGAAAGGCAAGAGAACAAGAAGATTTAACAGCTACCAATAATCTATTCCTCACTTCCACCCAAAACATGCAGGTATAAAGAAGCTTGCGTGCACAACATCCCCAAAGCCTGGCTTTGTGTTTGGGATGCAGCCTTCTCCAATCCTCCCTTCCACCTGTACGCAATTTAGGACTGCAGCAATACTTTCTCCTCTTCATCCCTCAAAACCGGTATCCATTTTTGTCAACACACACAATTTACTCAAGCATCAAGAAAAAGGTCGTTGTCACTAAGGTTGTGACATGCTTTTCCACATGCTATTTTTTTAAGTTTAGCTTAGGTATCATCCTACTCATATAAAACTGCTTTGAAACACACAACAAGGTAAAATAATGAAATATAAATACTGAACAGAAAACTAAATTTAAGAGAACTACCTCTGTAAGTTAAAAAAAATGAACTCCTATAGTTAAAGATAATTCTGGTTATCAGAACAATCACAAAGCTAACTATCATTAGATATGAGGGTTGTTTGTGAATTTCACAACTGCTTCAAGGAAAAAAAGTTTGAATATGGAACCATGTTAAAGACTGTACAAAGAAGCCAAGACGGAACTGTGAGGTTTTCGGGGGGGGGGGGCGCAGAACACAATTCCGTAAAATAACTTTAAAAACATAACATAAAATATTTATCTGTAAAATAATAAGGATATCAGCCATCTGAGGATGAATAATATTTTTTCCTTCTGTCAAAAATTTTACAAAATTAAGAAATGGATAGAACTGCATTTAAATTCAGAATGTAAAATTTTACTTTTACTACCTTTTTTGAAACAAGTAGCACAGCAAGGCAACTGAAACTAAAGTCCAAATTTCTGTGACAGATTAGCAGATTAGTCCCAAATTATGAACTCTCACAGTTTGTCTCCTTTTCTCTCTTTTTCTTAACAAGCTGTTCATCCACAAGGATCAAGACACAGAATCTTCATTTGATACTGTTTACTACCACCTTGCCCTCACAGAGCTCAATAGCAGATACTATTTGGTTAGTTTTTAAACAATATCAGAAATTGGACTTTTTTTTTCCCTCAACTCTGTTTCCTTTGGTTTTAGGAATCTAATACAGTAGAAGCATCAAAACACAGTACCCTTCCTACTATGAAGTTAAATTCTCTTCTCTTTGCCTTTTCACAAAATAAAGCTTTAATGAGACGGTATCAGACACTGCCATAGCTCTATACACTTAAGTGTCTGAACCTACAAGTTACTCTACAGATGCAATTCTAAGTCAATGGTAAAATACAAACTTGACATTACCTAAGAGCAAACCAACCAGTGTCTTTCCACTACACTTAGTAGATACACATACACAAAAAAGAACCCAGAGCAAGACACATCAGTAGCTACAGCATGCTTAATTTATGGAGTTTAAACACGTAACTTTACAGGTGAAGTGTACTGCTTTACTTAATTTTTTACATGATGTTCAATTCACAAAGTAGGTGTTAGGCATCCTGTTCTTATGTATGCATACAGTCTCCCAAGCAATTAAGTGACTTGCTCAGCTATAAACACACAACCCTCAGTTGTGTAATGCAGCATGGGTCATCCCAAAGTGATCTCAACTTATAACTCTCTTTTGTCATGTTTCTGTATTGGTAGTACTTTATTCATAGTTTTTCCACCACAAAGAGTTTTCATGTTTACTGTATTTAACATAACAGCATGAAATCAGATTTAAAATAAGTTACCTCTCCTTTCATCATTCGAACTTTTGCCAGCCACCAGCCACAAGGTTCTTGGTCATTTGCTCTAGAATAAACCTGAAAATGGAAGTAGTAAAGAACACTGAAAGCGCATACAGACATAATTCACTTGCCTGCACGTATAATGACGAAAGAACATCCCAACTTTTCTAATTTTCATTAAAATGGAACAGTATGCTACATAAAAGTAATTTTTGTATAAATTATCCAGGCACGTGCTTCTTGCACAATTTTTTATTATTTTGCACTACAAGGGCTGTGAACAATTTCCTTTGCATACATTACTGACAATTCAAGAGAAATTTCTAAAGGAAGATAATACCTTGGCTCAACGCTTATTCAGGGGCAATTCCTCACTAAATTCAAACATTGTCTTCACACTTAAAGTTCACACATAGAAGTAACTCCACAATTAAGATTTTTGTTTTGTCCTTGGCTTACTTGATACACCTAGTACTACTGAAATGAACCAAGTCATCATATGACTACATATTCCATATTTAACAAACACTACCAAGTTAATGCAAGATCAAATATAGAACAGATGACTTCTGAAACTTTCATTTTCCTCATCTCCTGTAAGTTTAATTTATTCCTTAGGCATTTCTGACATGCCAAAGTCATTTGCATGCAGACTTACCAAGAAATTTTGCAATAGCAAGGAGGTACAAAATAATCTGTTAAATTTAACCTCTAACAAAGCCAACAAATAGCACATATATCAAAGAAAAAAAACAGAAAAACCCAGCACCTACACTACGTTGTTTCTTAGATTACTAGCCCAAAACTAGAACAGTATCCTAAATAAACTCATTACTTTGACTTTAAGGACAAGTAAAGCGAAAAGCAGAAGTTAAGCTAATGACTAAGATACTACAATGAGCTGGGAACAGAACATGCACCTTCTAATTTCCTAGTTTAATACACCATTTCTAATTAACACTGTTTCTCTGTAAAACAGTATAATTCACACAACTGCCCACCATGTATTTCATCTGGGTTAAAACTCTTCTTATTGGAATCACTTTGACATCTTCACATCAAAACATTTCCAACAGTTACACTGCAGATCAAAAAATAAAAATTACCTAGTTTTGGTTTTAATTCTGAAACATTCTCACCAATGTTAAGTTTTAGATTCTGAGAAAGTTCCATTAGTAATTCTGTGAAGAAACTGAAATGTCACAGTTTCAGTGAAAGCCTAATAAAACCATTACTAGAGACATGGTCCATTTTAAGTCTTGAGATTGCCAATATACTTACAATCATCATCACCACCTTGAAAGGACCACCAGTTACGTGTCAGGACAGTTCATGAGAATAAACTCACCTCCACTTCATCTCCTTCACCAATTTCTTTCTTGATATCAGGGGGTGGTGGTAATCTGACTTCATTAAAGGGTACCTGGCGCTCTGGTTGCCAACTGAAGTTGAAAAGACATTACACATTATTTCTAGAATTTTCCTGTTTTCTTAAGTTTTATTTTTAGAACTCTGAGTTTTAACTAAACTCACTCCTTCCATATAATCAAGTCTGTTTCTTTATTGCCAGAAAACAAGCCTTAAAAGCAATGGAACAAAATAACCCTGCCAAGATAAAAATAATATCTGGGAAGATATTTAAAGACAACAATTTTTAACTTAAAAATTTAACTTGATTGTGTTCACTAAATGGCTTTCATAAAACCCCAGTGAAAAGATTATTAGATGATGTACTCACTGTTCAAGTCATAAAGCCTTTATACAGATGTAAGCTTATCTTTGCAGTCTACCATGCAGTCTACCAGTTCATCCATTTCTTCACCTCACACTTAGCGTTTCAACTGCTTGCCATTGATATTTTAAGCATTCTAGGAAAATCTGACTCTGATTGTCAACAAAACTTTACATTTCTACCTACAGACTTGTTAACACTCCCCAATAAGCATCTGGCAAACAGATTCAGTTCAAAACATACCTTTGTATCTGCTTATCAATACCAACTATTACTAGGCATATAAAATCAAAATTACACCTTCTTGTACAGAAAGACTATTTATTTTACCATAGCTGGCTCTACAAAGCATTTTACTTGTAGAAGTGTATATTTTAGGTGCATTTTATGAAGACTACTGGAGCAATTCACACCCTCCATTCTGAAATTCCTTTCCCTTCTACTCCATGAATGTTACAGAACATCAGCTGTTCCTCATTCTTTTAACCAGAAACCCAATTAAAGACTCCACAGAGGTTGAAATACAACCAGGGGAAAATGCACTTCCCCCAAAATCTGACTAATTTAGAATATCCAAGGGACTTTGACATGGCATCTGCCAAAGCATTCCAACGTTCATCCTTTATGCCCATCTTAAAGTTCACATCAGGTACAGACAGGATCCAGAACCAATTTCTAACAGTAAGGATTACTGCAAGTATTTGTTTCGCTTACTTCCAATGCATGCAGACAGAGCAGCCTAAGTTAGTGGAACAATTCTCAGCCTTAAGTGCAAAGGGCACTTCTGCAACTTCCTACAAGATTTACATTTACTTTTTCTCTTAAAAGACAGCTGATGCTCAAGTACCTCACTGTGAATGGGAGCTTACTGGAAGATGTAAGCGCCAATAACGAGATGCTATGATTGAAGAGACCTTGTACCTTCAATAATATACACTTGATGTTGCAGTAGGCTAATTTTGGTTCCATCTCTACCATCTAAAGGAACTACTTCCATTAGAAGTGGATGGGCCAATAATGACTTACTGCTATCAGCTGCAAGATGTTTTGTGTGGTTTTTTTTTTTTTAACAAAAAAGTGGAGAAGTGCACAGAACACTGTTTTTGGAATGAGGAGTCAAAATTTTGATGGCAAAAAAGCCAAAATTTGAGTATCTCACTGGTGAAATGCAAAAAAAGATATTTTGAGAAATGACTTGTGACTGGCTACAAATTACCTAAGAGGATCTGACAGAACTGATGCCTAATAAGTCAGAGGGATTATCCCAAATATCTGGCACACATTATAAAAAAGGGAGGTGCTTCCTTCTTACAACAGAGAAGTTTTACTTTCAATATGGCTTCTTCAAACTCCAATGGGCCTATATGAAGTTGCACCTCAAGATCCAATTTTCTGTCTTATACAGCAATAAAAGGTTCCAGTTCCCAAAGCTTCTGCATTCATTCTCTACCTCCTTACCTCCAAAAAATGTCTCTTAAAAGAATCAAGGATATCTGCCCAGAGATTAATTATTGCTATGGCCACAAAATCATCAGCAGCAGTCTGTGCTAGTACACCAACTTTGGGAACCTTACAACAGCTGTAGATAAAGACAGGTTAACAATAGCAGAAAATGCAAACTGACAATTTAGACTGCCTTTAGTGGGGTAAATGTGTTTACTTCGTTAGTGCTGATCAGTATCACAACAGAATGATGCATTTGGGACAGGACGCTCTTGTCAGCTTTGGTTCTACTAAAGCCCTTACAAATTTAACTCACTAAAAAGTGTAATAATTTACGAGATTATTAACAGAACTGTATACACACTTCCTGATAAGACCTCTTTTTGGTCAACAAAGCACTTGACCTATGTTGTAGCCCATCTTTGTTGGAACATGGCTGCTGTTGCCAGGCTTTCTGTAAAACACATGGATGACATGGATACTAAACACTAGAAATGCGTCTGCCAACAATTAGACCTCTGCTGTGAACGACAGGCACTTCCTTTAGCTTACTTGGTTTGTGATGTGAAAGTATATGCTTTGAAGGCAAAGAGCCTCCTATCTTAACGAAAAGCAATATGGATGTTGAATATGAAACTGAAGATTGGTCCTTTCTCCTCAGAGCATGGACAGGATCAAGGACCCAATTTGTTTTTTTTCCTGTTTTTGGGGTGTAGGTATAAAAACCTAGGGGACTGTAACAACTTTCATAACCACCTCAGTAAGTGTCACTACAAATTATGGCTCCTGTCTCATCTTCTAAATATTTTTCATAAAAGAGCTAGAAAACAGGTTAGAAAGAAACAAAGACTGGACTTTGCAGGGTAAACCCTAGGATTGCTTCTTTTCTCCCTCCTAGAATTTATTTTTATAATCATGTATATATGTATACACACATTCATATATACACATACACACCCTAGGATTATATATGCAGGATTATAAGATACTGTTTATAAACACACACTTGCACACTCCCTAGTATTACCTTTACTACCCAGCAATCTTTCTTGAAGAAAGGCTCAAAGACTAATCTACAGGTTGATGCTGGGAGAGTTTAAGAGCATTTTTCACATCAAAAGTTGACACATTTTTAGGATCTCCACCTAGCAACTGGAAGGGAAACAGGAAAGAGATGTAGCTCCCAGAATATCTTAAATTAGCCCTGGAGTCTCCTGGGTAATCCATGGTGTTACCAAGTCTGAATGCTGAACAACAGGTATTCATTTTTACTTTACCATCCCATGGATTATCTTCAACTTGCCACTACAAGTCCCTAGCAGCACTGCTATGTTTATATATTAAAAGAAAAGGGCCTCACGCATAATTCTTTCCCCAGATTTGCACTCTTTTCCACTAAAAACAATTGGGTCTTAAGATTGGATACATACATATTTTCTTAATAGTTAAAAAGAAAAATCAATCATCATTGGGATACTTCTATTTCTCTCTGGTCGTGAACACTGATCAGTATTCCTCAGATTAGACATATAGAGAATTATTTAATAGAAGTACTTTGGCATTTTCCATCTTTTTCTGCTTTAGTATGAGTATCGGGCCTCTGCCACTGATTATTATTTTAACTAAATTTCACTGTCACTTCTATAGACATCAGTAAAGATATCAAAAAAAGTACAGGGCTGTATAACTGATGAGCTGAATTCTGATACAGCAGTTCAAGAAAGTAGTTCATGGAGACTGTGAAGAGAATAGTCTGTACTTGTAGAATTATACCTTATACATGTGCTATATACATGATTATAAAATAATTTTAAAATTCCTCTTAGTGTAAAAAAACCAAAAAACCAAAAAACACAAAAAACCAAAACGAACACCAAAACCACAAAACCAAAATTAACACCACAATACTCAAATTATTATTTAAATAAAACTTACTTGTTTTCAAATACAACTGTAAGCGAGTCTTCATGAACATCTTTGATAAATCCCTAAAACAAAAACATTTTTGTTATAAGAATGCATGTGAAATCAAAACAAGGCAGTAACACTTACACTAACTGTGTGACTATGGTTCCAATTTAGCAAAGTTCCAAGACACAACCCCACTGTTCACACGAGGCTGCTGATATTTAGTTGGCTATTCTAAGAAATACAGTGCACAGCGATTGTTTCAAATGACAGCTCAAATCAGACCAGCATATTTACAACTGAAAACTCTGATTCTGAGTTTATTATCTACAGGTGCACACAACTGTTTTACAGGAACAAAATGAGAGAGATCCATGGCAATTAGTACAACTCACAAGATAATGTCAAATAGTTGTGCATAGCACCTTATGCTTTACAGGTGTTCTCAAAGCAAACCTGAATCCCGAACAACTGTCCTTCAGAACAGTATGACAGCAACTTTGGATAGCATTTGGCAATACAGGCTGCCATAGAGCTAGTTAAGGCATCATCTTTCAAATACCAAATCAGGGACCGTATGAGGCCAAATACCTGTAGGACCTCACAGGAAAACAAAGAACAAATTATTTCACTTTTTTTGTGTCACATTATTATGATCTCAAGAGCAGTTGAGGGGAAATCCCACTTCCCTTTCTTTCTTTTGAAAAGCAAAGGGCTTCTTTAGGGGGCACTGATTATGTCAAAAACCTATACAAAGAACAACCTGATAGGTGCAATTGTACTCAAGTATCCATGAAGAAATTAAATTTCTACATCTCTTGGTTAAGGAAGGCAGGTATGCTGCAAAAAAGGCAGATAAATGAACAAGAAAGATCTTTCAAACTACTCCTGCTTTTGCTATAGCCTGGTATTTGCCCAAGCACAGGAGGTCAAGGAGAAACCTGCAGTTTTAAAGGAGCAAAAGAGTTGTAAAGCTATGTTAGGAGACGTTCCAAGAAATCTGCTGAATGGATTGTATCCACTTAAGAAACTGCCAACTGAGGAGGATGAAGAACGTATCAAATGTGCAAGGAGTAACTAGCTCGCAGAGGTATTATGTGTCAGAACAGGGAAAGATAAATTTTGACACAGGAGATCCATCAATGTAATGATGGATAGTAAAGGAGCCCATACTGACAGCTGGTTGCAAAGGACCTATATAAAACACATCTCCTTTTGCCTAAACTCATACTTGGGCAACACTGTGAAGGCATTTGCTCAAAACCTGCTTTTCTGCTCCCTGAGCTTCACGCAAAACCATCTGCCAGCAACACAGAAGACTGGCTCTAGCGGAAAGCATACTGGTAATCCTGAACAAAGCAGGTCACCAGAAATCACAGAAATCTCCTCATTGGACCACCTACTGTGTTCCTAATAAAATAAACCCTTTCCAAGGCTGTCCTGCCACTACAAGGGAAGGAAGGCAAATCTCTTTCTTTGCAGGTTAAGAAACTGAAACAACAGTTGACAATAAAATACACCTGTAATCAGGGACTTTCCTGTCCAGTTTCAAGAAAGCTTCTGGACAGGTAAACTGGACAGGAATATAGAAGTTATGTATGTTTAAAGATGCAAAAAGCCTACAAAATTTTACTGCCTGAAGCACATGTTAGCTAACAGCAGAGGTAACGCAGAACTTTTACTGAATTTATGCTACCAACATCCCCTTTAAACATGCCCCAACATGGTGAGGAATTAACACAGCATAAAGTGCAGGAAATAAAAGTCATTCTACTACAACTGAAACTCTATCCACGGACAAAACACCCAAGTGACAGCACTGCGCACAAAGTTCATGCAGTCCAACATTCTGTTGAATGACAACTTAGCAACAGAAAGCAGTATTTACAGAAAAAGGTTTAACTCCCTACTATAGACAGCCATCTATCTGCATTCCAAGAGTCTGTCATTATTAGTCTTTGCCTCATTATGCTGCTTTAATTCATAGCTGAACCTTCCTCTTATTTATGTTATTACATGCTCCCACAGTACTCAACATGGGGAGGAATTTCACTTCTAAGGTCAGTGTATAGTAGCTAAAAATTTATTCTGCAGATCTGAATTCAGTTATCTTTTCTTTGTTAAAAAAACGTAACTTCAGAATCAAGACAGATTAAAATCAGGCACCACAAGACAACTGAAAACTATTCAGAACATAATGTTCTGCAGAGTTTAGAAAACCCTGAATCCACTGACTAGCTGCAGGTTTCATTTATGAGACAAAAGAAGTGGAAAAAAGGAATCCCAACTGCAGTGAATTTCAAGGATTTCAGACAGCTAGTCCATTACTAGGTAAAGTCTGGCTTTCCATGTAATGGCACAAACAGGTTTAATATTCACAACTAATTTTCAAGCTAACGGCCTACTGAAGAATGGGAAAGTTGAAGTGGAACAATAATGTGGAGATATGACTAGCAGCAGACTAACAGCTGACACCACACAAACGTCAGCTGCATAAACAGAAACATTGAACATTTAAATAAAAACGAAAGTACAAATTCCAACAAAGAATCTGCACATTTTACAGCACCACATGCGTTTCAGGAACTCCTTCACATGAGGAAGTTGTTCTGTTCAAAGCGTGCCTACTGCTCTTCCCATACGAGAATATAATGCAGACTCATGGCTAGCAGACACGTATGCAGTAATTTGCTTGAAATTATCTGAGTAACATTTTCAGTTGGCATTCTCAAACTCCTTCACTCCACAGCATTTGTATATGAGAAACAGTCATAATCAAATATAACATTTATCAGGTAGGCACTTCAGGTCACAAACGGACATATGTAAAGCATTAAATAAAATTACATAATTATTTAAATATTTATATTGTTGTGAGGTCTGAAAAAAGTCTGATCAGAGTCTAATTGTGCAAACACACTAATAGTAGTAAAGGAGTAATGTAAAAGTCAAAATTCCAAGTATAATTCTTCCTACTATTATCCATTTCTCTACAGCTGTGGGGAAGAAATCACATTTACAGTAACGGAGGCACAGCAGTTTATAAGGTATTATAGATTGTATGGTTCATTTGTAATACAACTAGAAATAATTAGAATTCAATATAGTTTTTAAATAGTTTTATAAGAAATTATTCCGTTATTGCCAAGAAACATGACAAAAGTTAATAAAAAAAATTTGTCAAAAGTAAAAATTCCTGCATACTACTTTCCTACCTACAACCTGTCCTTTACTGTAAGCATTATCAACTGTCACTTACAGCTCCAAGATAAAAACAGAGAAATAGATTTCATGCATGTCGGGAAGAGATTTAGTGTAATTTTTAAAGAAGTATTCCAAAGGCCTAGAGAGTATTTTAAAAAAAACTTTTAAAAACACCAAAACCTGTGATATTAAAGATGTTTTTAGATATTTTAAAGATTTTTTTTTTACATTAAAAGTTGTATTAAATCCTATAAATTCACAAATATTTCTTCAGAAAGGGAGTGATGAACATAAAACAGAAAAGTAAATACCCTGGGTTTCAACCAGGAATTTTGTAGTTGTTCTTTATCAGTGAGGTAACCTATATAAATACATTTGTACTCTAAGTTTGCACTAGTCATGTCTGATACTGTACCAAAAACATTTTCTACTAAATTAAGTAATGATGCATCATCATAACTTTGGCTCAAATGAACAAGGTACTCCCTTACTGAAATTTAATTTAGCAGTGTTGCCTAAGATAGATAATGCCAGTATCTAAGTTTGAAATGTTCTATGTTCCCTACTCATCATTCCATGTATCCTCATCCCAAACAGAGGTGATGAGGCACAGCTAAAAGGAGACCACCAAACACATCATCAATAAATATACTGTCATCAAAACCACATAGGGACAAACTGTATTATCAGCAAGCTTACACGTAACATTTGTGTGTTTTTTTACACCACGTACAAACTGTACAGGGCAGGAAGGGAAGAAAAATTTATGTGACTTCATCTTGCCAGACCTCTGATTTGGGCTGTCCAGATATTAGTGTCAGTCATTCAGTTTACGCTGTGAGCTGGATCTCTGGACATCCATGTATGCCCTGCTTGCTGCAGCCCGGCTCATGAAGCAGGCAGGAGACTATACTGTACTACAGGCTATTAATGTCATGCTGGCTCCCCAGGCACTTTGGTACAGACCTGTCTCTGCCACTCACTTGGCAAAAGCCAGGCTCCCAAAACTAGCACCTGTAAAATTAGGGATAATATTGCTAGGACTCTTGCCTAAGTTTGGGATCAGAGATCCAGTAAATGTAACACAGGGCCATACCATGTTAAGTATGAACAACAGGACAGGAAACTATGAGTGGATCATTTGTCACCAATATCACTACAATTGGGACTTATTTGTCTTGTAACACACAGACACTCTTTTCCTTTTACCTGAGTTTTGCTCACGGATTTAGGATTAGGATCTGCTGATAACATAAACGGATCAAGACTTTAGTGCCCTTACAGTGAACTGTATGTCTCTGTATATATACACACGCTTTTTTTTTTTTTTTCAATCCAGTTCCAGGCAAAAACCACAAAATCTGTGCAACCGGCAGATGCAATCCAAGTTCCCTCTTCATCCTGGATTCCTAAATTTATCTGACTCCCAAGTAGGATAGTACAACCTAGAAATGAGGTACTGTTAGTTTAGCTGCAAACATTCTTTCCAGGGATAGCCACTGCGTTGGCTTTTGAGTCACACGTACCTGCACAGTAAAAACTATACTAAGATCAGCTTACCCACTGCTGAGCAAATTTCAAACAGTAAACGCTTTGGCATCTGGTACCATGGACTGTTTCTGAATCAGTAACATAAAGGTCAAGAAGCCTATATCCAATTACTAATCCTTTCACTCCTTTCAGAAGTAAGGACCATTAGTATTTTTAACAAATGTTCATACACAACTGTTCATGTAACAAATACATGAAATACTTAATTATTACTAAGGGATGTATCCCATGCTGACCCCCCAGAAAAAGAAATAAATAATCAAACACAGAAAACTTGTAAATAATCAAATCACTGGACAAAAAGGACTGAACTTCATGAAG